TTGTTTGTTTTCTTTCCCCTGTGTTGCTATTTAAATGCATGGACAGAGAATGAGACCCTCCCCATTACAGTCTTAAAACTCACAATACAACGTGTTGTCTTTAACCAGGCACATACTGGTACGTTTGCAAAGTGTACATGCATTAAAGCTGTCGTTCTTTTAACACATGCATTATTTGTCAACACATCTGTATGTCTTTATGTGTTAATTCAGCACTGCACCGGTAGAAATAGTAAATGACACATAAACTATTAATAATGTAGGTTCCCAAAACTTTGATTTGGGGGGCCCAAAACAATTGGAAGGGGGGAAAAGCAAAAACAGCAGTTTAAATGCACAGCAGGGGTGAATCTGAATGATTTCACACAGGAAATGCTTCCTCAAACTTTTATACAAGCTGCCCCTAATGTAAGTGCCGGGTTTGCTAATGGGGAATACATATTCCTTCACAGCCACAGCTCATGTTTTAAAGAATTTAGTCAGTGCCTAGTATCCTGCAGGGTTTGTGTATTCATTCACACCTTACCATTGGAGTCAGATGTGTAGAAAAGATGATAGAAATGTTCTGATTAGAATCCATTGAATGGGGATTCCTGCAGTAATCCAAGTGCTGCTGGTTGGTTGTAAGCCTGTTGTCCGAAAGCTTCAACAAGTCTCAGAAACTTGATTCAATCTTTCTTTTATTCATTTTTTCCCATCTCAGTTTTCAGAACCTGTGTAGTTTGGGGAGGGTGGGCGGAGTACTTCCACAGCCTTAAAAAGTCATTCCCAACACATTAAGGGAGGCAGATGATGGTCAGTGTTGAAAGAAACTGTAAATATCATAGCAGAGTAGCGTGTGTTGAAAATGACGTCAGCTTTTTAAGAGTGTAGGAAGTTAACTTGTTGGTTTTATGTTCAATTTTAACTATCTGTCCATGCTGTATCTGTTGCCTGTTTTCGATTTTATTTTCAGTGTTACTTCATGTATCATAACCAAGCTGATAACAGGACGGTTCAAACTAGAAGCCAGAGGTGAAGGGGGGTGTTTTCTTTAAAGGGGAAGTTGCAGTTCTTGCCATTGATTACAAGGTTGTTTTCAGAGTTTTCTGCTTTTACATTTAATCAGTTCCCGTGGGTAAATTTGGTCACTGTGGAAGCAGGAAGAGCGGTGTTACAAATAAAACGTGTTCAACTTCAAAAGGATTTTTGATTGGCTAAAGAGAATGGATGTCACGCACACTGTACGATAATCCAACAGGGTGTGATTCAATTTGATGAACACTTCAGAAAATATAGAAACTTTCCTTTTAAAAGGGATCAAATAACGTTAAAGGCTCACTGCTAAATTGCCTGTACCCTTCATGTTGCTTCATTGTGGCTCATCTGAGAGAGGACTGACCGAAACCTGTTTGTAGCTTTTCATTTTTTTTTTCTTGGATTATCACAGGCTTTGCTTAGATTTGATGGTGTCCAGAAATATTAACTCTAACTGCTATATTTGCTGAAGCCTGGAAGATGGAGCACGGCTTAAAACCTGGTTAATTTATTGTTTCCCTGAGGGACTTGATGGTAATCTAAAAGAAAAAAAACAGTCACTGGATTTTTGAAATATATTGATCAACATACTGAGCTCAAACAGAATAATCAACTCCCCATGTGATGAATTTAAAAAAAAAAAAAGAGTTCTGTCAGTAATTTCAGTGCATTTGCATACATGGCTCTTCAAACACTCTGGTAATAAACTGAGTTGAGTAAGTAAGAGGAGTCTTTGTTTAATGTGTGGATGGATGGATGTTTCCAGAGCTGAAAGCTTACAGCTAAGATTTATTCTACACTCTTAAAAAAAAACAAAACAAGCTCACGGCTTATGAGTTTCTTTCATGTTAAGATAATATAACCTTTATTAGTCCCACGTGTGGGAACTTTGTTACCAGCCCTTCTGCCGGGAGACACAGCAAACCTTGTGACAACACACATGGATGGCATCTGATGTGACAAGCACACTGAGAAAAAACAAAACTAGAGAAAAATTCATTAGGATTAATGGAAAGCAATGATCTGTGGCCAACACCTGTAAAACAATCCCCTTTCTGGTAGCTGGCTTTTCTTGCCTCTCCACTGCACATGTTGTCACTTTCCTTTGGACCACAGTAGGTGAAACTGATTCACACTGGTTTTTGCTTCATAACTGGACGCCCTTTAAGTTTGAGGTATACTCTGATGACCGAGTGCTAATTTTTGAACAGCGTATTAAATACTCCATCCTTAAGACATTTCGTATTTTTTGCAAGCAGTAGGACCATTCATGTCCAGCGGAGGGAGACAACCACAGATTTAACCATGCTGAGTCACACAAAGTGAACTCTTTACTCTTACTCAGAACTTGGGGCGGGGGAGTATGCACATCTACAAAACCTTTTCGCTGTGGGCACACCCAGAAATACTGAGTCAGAAACCCTGTGAGCAACGTCCAAGTTTAAGACAACAGGTTTCTGAAATTCTCACACCAGGACACATGACCTTCCTCATTCTGATGTGCATTTTTAGCAGTTATGTCTACATGTCTAAATTAACTGAATTTCTGCCATGTGATTGGTTGATTTGTGATAAATAGGTGGGCATAGAGTTTGTATACATAATCCAAAGGTTATTGCATCTTATAAAGCCTAGAAAATCTTTTAAATTTATTATTATCATTTATTGTGGCTGTATTAGCCAGCCATATATTATCACCATTGTCACCAGATGGCGCTACAAGCAAAGGTACCTGGAGCCTGAGACTTCTTCCTCAAGATTTGTGTGTTTTCTTAACTACCTGCAGGAGTCACCTGTCTTGAAGGCCTCATGTTTCATCACCTGTGAAAAATGTTTCACAATGTTTTATGACTCCATGGCTTAGTTTATATGACAACTGTGAGTCATTCAGGCGGGTATGTAGCCATTCTCTGAATGAATGTGCAGTAAACGATCCCCTCTTGCTATCTGTAGCTTCTGCAAAACATTAACCAGTTACAGAGGCATTTGTCTCTGGAAAGGGAAGGGTTTGTTGTTGCAGCGGTCAGATTCAGATTTCAAAGTCTTAATCATTATAACTTGTCACATGCCTCACATTTACATATGAGTTCAAACATGCCGGCATCAAAAGCATTACATGTTCTTATAAATATATATATAATTTTGGTTGATTATGATTCTAAGAATCTGGGTCTTCCTCCGGTTTACTGCTCTGAGACATGGTTAATCATCACCTCACATATGACCTTGTATTACTTGAACCACATTTTATGGTTTGTTGTAGCTAGCTTTATAGGGCATATTGAAAGACTTTACTACTTATGAGATTTTTAAAGATATTGGTGTGATTTGGAGTGATTATTTGACTCACGGATCCTTTCTCTTTTTAAATCATTTTCTGTAAACCAGAGAGATGATCTTGTGGATAAAACCCGGGAAGATTTGCAGTAAAATATGAAATTCATTCAAGCCAGTCTGGCAGCGGCAGCCTTACTGCATTCAAAGTTACTTTTTCCACATTCTAGTCCTCAGTTTGATCTTCAGCAGGCTGTCTTGACCATGTCTACACGCCATGGAGTTTCTACCATGTGACTGGCTCATTAAATATTTGAGTTAATGAACAGGTAAATGTGTGTACCTAATGAAGTGGCTGGTGAGTTTATTTAAGACGAACATAGCCATTTTGGGGCTGTCAATGGAAAGCTATGTTAGCTGCCAATGCTAGCATGTCTGCTTAGCAAGATGCATCTGTAAATTCTGGAGGTGCATCACACAGATACCTCATAATTAGTAGTGAGTATAATGTATGGATAAAATATTTGAAAAATCAGTGCAGCATAAACTTCAGCGGGCTCTTGGCTTTAGATAATGGTGTTCATTTTTAGTCCAAGACCAACCAAACCGCAAATAATTGTTGTTATGGGAGGGAAAATTAGCCCAGCAAACATGTTTGTTGGGTATTTTAATATTGTGTTGTGCAAAATGTCATGTTTTCTGTTTTTTGTTTGGTTTTTGGTTTTGTTGTTTTGCACTTTGGAGCTACAATCGTTTGTACAACTATACTACAAAAGGCCATTATTCTGGCACTAAGTACTGTGTACAGATATAAGCACGTGACAATACTGAGTTACATCTACAGTGATTGCTGCTTTAGAGGACATGGAGCCAAAATCCTAAACATAGCCCTGCTCCTGTGACACACCGGATCATGTCTCACGGGGATTGCTGACTGCAGGTGAAAACATTCCGGTCACATGCTGGTGATGTTGAACCAACAGGTGATGGCAGACATCCTGTTTTGACTGTTGCTTGTAATCGGAATCACCGCTAACTTGAAACGCAAACCCCGTGTCGGTCAGTACTCAGAGGATATGGTTCAGTTTTCTAAGTGGTGAGTTTGCTGGTCTTCTTTGAAATCATCCACTTTTTTACTTTTTCTGTTTACTTTTCCATTTCTTCCTCATATTTCTACACTGTGTAAATACTTGCATTTCATCCTCCTTCTGCATGCCTTCCTGTTTTTTCTTTGCCCTTTCATGTCCTCGAGTTTTCCCTTCTTTCCCTTTATGTTGTTTCCTTTATACTTTTCTTCTTCTTCTTCTCCAACTTTCTCTCATTCTCCACTTTAATTCTCCCTATCCTCTTCACCGGCCCTATCTTTTCCCCTCCTCTTCCTTCCCTTTTCCTTTTTTCCCCCATTTCATCCTACATCTTCCCTCCTCTGTTTCCCAATTCCCCACGCCTCCTCTCTATCCCACTGCAAATGAAGTATAGGGAGACTGCAGTCAGAGTCATCTAACATGAACCCTCCTGAAGTTATATAACTGTTCTTGTTACCCTCCATGCGTGAAAAACAAACGTCAGCTACCCAAAAGGGAATCCCTCCTTTTGGCCACTGCAGGTACCCAAAAACCAACCAGGAGCTTTAGGTAAAGAAGATGTTATACAAGACAGCTGCAGTGGAATATTAATGAACACAGTGATTAGAGGAGCTTGTTGTGAATACAAATTAGGACTTGGCATTTTTTTAAAAACCACTTTTGAATAATTGGGTTTTATAAATCCTTAACCTTTTGAACCTGAAGTAGCTTCGTGGGTTCTTTTCATTTTTACATCAACCCACGTTTCAGCTGGGCATGTTAGCAGGTTTTCATTTTCAAGACAGGATGGGCTGCTCTGAATAATTTAGCATAAGTGGGTCCAAAGTAATGACATGACACAATGCTACTTTATATCACACATGAACAAGATATGCAGATTAGACATTTACAAACACGAGACCACCAAGTTATAAATGCATATGTTCTTTAAAAGTCAGTATTATCTCTCCCACAGTTAGTAGACTTGTATATCTACACTGTTTTGGTTAAAACTTTTGCTTTCAGAAGTGGCGGAATTCTTAATGGCAGCGATTCAAAAAGGTGGTGGAAACATTCCTCATTGACTTTGATCCATATTGACGTGATTGCATATTTGTCAGCTGCACAGCCATAATTAGGATACCCTGATCCACCACTTCCCAAATCCCAGATCCGACTGTGGAGGCCATTTGAGTATAGTCAACTCATCGTCATGTTTAATAAACCAGTTTCAGATAATTTGAGCTTTGTGACATAGTGTGTTATCCTGCTGGAAGCAGCCATCACATGATGGATTCCCTGTGGTCCTAAAGGCATGGACATGGTCAGCTACAATACTCGGGTACATTGTGACATTTAAACAACACTCAGTTGTTACTAAGAGACCCAAGGTGTGCCCAGATTTCCCCATGCCATTACACTGCCACCACCAGCATGAAGCATTCAAACAAGGCAATGTTGTTTACACAAAATTTTGGCTCTACCACTGAAATATTGCAACAGAAATCACGACTCATCAGACCAGGATGTCTTTTCCAATCTTTTGCCATCAAAATGTTGGTGATTCATTGGAAATTGCAGCTAAGTTTCCTATTCTTAGCTGATGGTAGTGGTACTCACTATGGTCATGTGCTGTAGCCCATTTGCTTCAATGTGTTGAAAGTTGTTTATTTGAGTTACAGTTGCCTTCCTTCCTCAGGCCGAAGCAGTCTGGCCATTCTCCTCTGACTGTTGACTGGCATCAACAAGGCATCTTCAGCCAAAGAAGTGCTGCTCACTGGATATTATCTTATTTTCAGGCTATTCTCTGTAAACCTTAGAGATGGTTATGGGGGGAAATCTCAGAAGATCAGCAGTTTCTGAAATATTCGATCCAACTAGTCTAGAACCAACAACCTCTATACCTTCAAAGTCACTTAAATCACCTTTCATTTTCATGACGATGCTCACTTTGAATTTCCGCACATCATATGGCCCATGTCTGCATGCCTAAAAACATCGAGTTGCTCTCATTTGAGTGGCTGATTAGACATTTGTGGTAATCAGCTGTTGCACGGCTGTACCTAACAAAGTACATGAACAGCTACTGTAATTTATTTTATGGATAAATTATGGCAAAGTCCTGGCAGCTGGGAAGTCTAC